AATACAACAACGCTACGTACACTTTAGAATTGAATAGAAGGCGACCCTCTCCGACGGCCATTCCCAGCCACCTACTCGACCGAGTTGAGTATGCGGCGTAGCCCCTAGGATATAAGCCAAGGATCAAGTCCGCCCTCCTTTTGTATTTCTCCAAGTCCCCCGGCAACCAGACCGAGTTTGAGATAATTTTAGCTATCCAAGCTCTTCTTATTCCTGAAGATCCCCAACGACAAAGACTTGCGTAAGCGCGACAGAAGAAAAAAAAAACAATACTTTCAGATCAGATCAAGATCATCGAAATCCAAAAAGCGGAGGATATGAAATGCTTCGCTTGCTTGCTTCTTTTGTCCAGAAGTGCTTTCCTAAGAATTTTGCGTTTGTCTCGCTTCGTGACAGTCGTTTCCTCGTTCCATGCTATGTATGTTTATCGTAGTAAGTTACAAGGTGTGCGGGCTGTTTCGCAAAAAGCTTAGTGGCGGCGAAGGGTCACGTTGGGGATGCCGGTGCCCGTGGGGAGGAGAGGCAGAGTGCCGTTGTTGCCCGTGGGGTAAGGGACAACGGACCGGGTGGCCGTGACGGTAACATCAGCGCTGGACGACTCGGGGTCGCAGTTGTCGTCGCCGCTGCTGCTGCTGTCGTCGCTTCCAGTGGAGGCGGCGGCAGTGGTGGTGGCGGTAGCAGCGTCGTCGGAAGTTACGGCCTTGGCGCCAGTGGCCTCAGCAGCGGTAGCAGTGACGTAGACAGTGCTGGCAGGGAGGGTCTCGGTGACGGTGACAGTAGTGGCAGCGCACTCGCTGTCAGAGCCGGAGGCGGAACTGGAACCGGAACCGGAACCAGATCCGGAACCGCTGTCGGAGTTGCTAGAGCCGGTCTCCTCAGCAGAGACACTGTCGGAGCTGGAGCTGTTAGGGACAATGGTGACGGTACGGGTACCGGTGGAGGTCATGGTAGTAGTAGTGGTGCCCTCGCTGTCAGATCCCTCGTTAGCACTGCTGTTGGAGTCAGACTCGGCAACGGGGCTAGCAGTGACGGTAACCATAGCGGTGAGGGTAGACTGGACGGTGGTGACCAGGACGGAGCGGGAGCTCTCAGGGCCGACCGTCACGCTGAGAGTCTCGGCAACGGTGCTAACGGTAGGGTAGACAGAGACACTGGCGGTGGGAGTAGCCTGAACAGTTCGTGTGCTACCGGTGACCAGACCGCTGCTGTGGGCGTCGACCATGGAGCTGGAGATACCCTCGGCGGCAGTTGCAGGGCATACCGTGGTCGTCAAATCGATGATCTCGGTAATGACGGGAAGGCTGGTGCTGTTGCCGGTGGCGGCCGGGCAGTTCGTGATGCTGGCCGCACAGGAGGAGACGGTGTGGACCGAGGTAATGGCGACGGTCAGGGTAGTTGAGGAACCGGCGGCGGCAGCGGTCTCATTTCGTCGCCAGTGGGGGTTGTGGAAGTGGCGGGGGTGGTTGTAGGTGGCGGACGCGAGGCCGGCAAAGAGGCCGAATGCAACAGTCGCGGACTTCATTTTGAGCTGTGGGTTGCGGGCTTGTAGCTTGGTTTTTTACAAGTTGTCTTGGTATACCTGACGAGAGGATCTCGCTTGTTTTTCACAGTACCTCAGTGGTTCTATTCTTCAAGATGCTCTAATCTCGGATGGGTTATGTACTTCGTTGCTGTCGAATGAGTGGACGTATGCAAATATGCAAATCAAGTGAGCGAAAGTCAATTTCGCGAGGGCTGAGCAGACACAGTTGCCGTGGAAAGAGTGATGTGTGGAATTGAAGGCTGCTAGCTGAGCAGGAAATGACAGCGGCGAAGAGAAAAAGAGAGACTGGAGATAGACTTGGGAAAAGAGAGAACACGCGAATGGTAAGGAAGAAAGGGAGAAAGGAGAGACATCTCGTGGCAGTGGAGGGCGAGCCCTTTTACACGATCGGCTCCTTTACCTTGGCGGTTAGCGTGACAGCGTGAAAGAACCCAACGACCAAGCCTGGGGACTCTCTTTCAAACGCAGCCCAGGACACCCTAGCTCATCATGTTGTTGACGGGCGCCCTTCTATTGGGGAGGACTGGCTGCGACCCACCGACGATAGACGACCTGACGGCCCATAGGATGACTAGACTCTCCAGCGGGGCATCTAGTCAAAAGAGCCGGGGGGCCTGGGGGACCTGACGGGCCAAGAGGAAAGGAAAAAGAAGGGCCAACGCGGTCGAGTTGCCAGGCTTGTCTGTTGGTGCCCCTGAGCCCCACGCACCAATACGACGGACCCCTGTCGGTCAAGACGCAGGTACGACATCGTGAAACCGTCCAAAGGCCAATGGGCATTCGAGAATCAGCAGAGCTGATGACTTTGGGATTCGAGCAAGGTACCCAGCCCGCCAGCTCGTGCGACAACAACGCATGGTGGCGTGCTGCATAATTTCTCTCTTCGTTGGCCGACTTTTCTAGTCTGTACGCTATTATCTAGTGTCGAACCTATTCCTCAAAAATAAGGTGAGATAATCTGCGCAAGGTTGATGGTGCTGATGGTGGTGTAAGAGTCTACTATTCCGTACATAATGTATGTACTATGTAGAGATGGCGGAAGGTTGACAGACATGGACGATCAAGATTAGATTGAATGATCTGCGCTACAACCTACATAGTACAACGGCCCGTACTATGTACTCGACAGCCCGCAAAATATCATCAATCATTTACACGGTCACATTTGATTAATATAAAAAAGTCTGCCAACATCAGCAGCATTCTGCAAGAAAATTATTAAGGTATTCCCTTGCTTTTTGAGATTCGCCAACGGTTTAAAATCGGTGCTTATTACTCCGAGCCGGTCGCAAACATGCATAAGTCTACCAGCCCTGTTTTAGGAATATCTAGCGAGCATGATATGGTAAGAAGGTAGATGCACAAAGCCGCAATTACTAAATCTAAAAAATTCAGAATCACTTACAACGTGGTACATGATGCACAGAACTGGGTATTATATGCTTCTTGCCACTGCTCTTTGTACACCATGTAGTCTAGAATTGTAGGGAATTTGCGGAAAGACATGGGAGGGCCACGCGGGTTGAGCGGCGCGCACGATCCTCTTCGTGGGGAGAAAGAATAAAGAACCTTGAATTGCAAATTGGCAACTTACGCCGCAGTGAATTCCCGACCGGCCACATTCGAGGATCATGGTTTCGGGACCAGCAGTGGACTATGCTTGAAGAGGAAAAAGAACACACGGCGGCGACGTGTACCCTCTCGATGCATTCCAGCTTTGAGATAGGCACGGAATTAAGGGAGGAGTCCAAACGGAGTCCGCTACCTATTGCGTTGGGTCGTCTGAACTTTGCAGATAGAGATCGGACGACACCACCCATCAAAGAAATCTCAAACGAGACGGGCGCCTCGTCTGTCCTTGCAATAAACCCAGCAGCGGTAAGGAGTTGTAGAATGTTCCACAACCCTGGCCACGTTTTTTGTCGGCGGGCTGGGCGCATGAAAGATGATCTGCTGTACCCTTTGATTTATTCGTGGCGTCGTCATACAGAATCAAGATTTATTGCCTGTTGTTAAACAGGACATGCGGTGAATACACACTTGCCCTTCCTTCCCCTCATGTACCTAAGTCAGAGTGAGCATCTCTGATGTTAGTCCCAACATCGTCCAGTTCATTAAACAGAACTGCCAAGCATTACTTGTCATTCTCTGTAGCATCTCTGTAGTATCATACTACCATCTGAACCCTTCGGCTGAAACGGATGAAACTATCCTCAATGATCGACCAAGACCGTTGGCGGGTACTAGGGTAGGGGCTGGCCTAAGACGAAGAATTTCGGGGAAACGAAAAAATTTAGCGGTGCCGCTTTGGTGTAATTCGGCTTATTACTAAGGGTAAGGGGCTCGAGGGCGCCGAGCACATCAAAAAAGGGCAGTTTCACCAGTTTAGCGCCTCGAGCCCTGATTTAATAGGCTTCTTTTTTTTCTCATTTTCTTCATTAAACTTTTTTTTTAGCGAGCTTACCTAGGTAGGTAGATATGCAGCAATGCTGGCCGCGCAGACCAATTCCGATGCACAGTACAACCTTGGAATTGTCAGGCATTTAGTCAATTATCAGATAGCGTCATTGAAGATATCAGACATTCGTATTTGAATATTTCAACCAATTTTCGAATCGCAAAAACCATCAGAACTGTACTAAACAGAGAGAAAAAAAAGGCAAATTTCTAGTCCCAGTCGCACACATATAAGAGGCCCGGTTCCAGTTGAAATTCAACTCGAAGAGGTGGCATTTAAGTAGAATCGTTGGTTTTGAAGGGTATCACGTCTTGTGACTTGACAATACAGGCTATTATACGTCAGATAGTTCAATCAACTTACAGGTTCCAAGTTTGACCCGAGAATAATTAAATAAAGCAAGAAAAGACGAAAACTTGAAACCTTGTTGCAACTCTACACGAGGCCTGGCTCTAATTGAATTTTAGTTTAAATGGTTGTGGTGAATGCCTTCGGAGGGTCACGTGGCATCCTCCAGTACCAACAATTTAACCTAAAAGCGACATATTCAAATTCAACGTAGAATAGAACCAAGTATCGCTCAATGCTGAGACCTGGATTCAAAATTTTCTCTTTTCTTTCTCTTTTTAATAACTTTGATCGCACTTTTGGTCTAAGCTCGCTGAGATGACAAATACCCTTGTGTACCATTTGACATGAATATATCCATAATAATGCTACTCATTACAAAGCAACTGGGTTATAATGTCGACAAATAATACAACCTGGTAGAGGCTTGGGATAAGGCTAGTAGAAAGCTGTAAACCGTTAGAAGAAATAATAGATACCTACCCCAATAACGAAGTCACCCCTATAGGTAAGAAGGGTCAATTCCGGTGTCAATATCAGGACCACGCACATTTCGTGACACTAGAATAGGAACTCGTATCTAATAGCAAGAAGAGTCAGAAGAAGAGCAAAAAGAGCAGTTCCCAATCTGACTGGGAGCCATGGGAATTGAGCCCACGGCGGGGGTCGAACCCGCAGCCTTGAGATAACCACAAGAATAAGAGTCTCACGCTCTACCGATTGAGCTACGCGGGCCTCATGATATGGCTTCGATGCCATTTGCCGGCTAGGTTAAATATTTTCATCCTATTGTTTCTTATATCGCTAATGTACGGGTCAGGCTCTGGTCGTGGTAGGACTGTTTTAGGCAGGGCCCGCAATGTGTCATTGTCTATCAGGTCTCAGATTAAACTGAAGTTTAAGATTGTCTCTTATATAGGTTGGAGACACTATAGGTTCTGATTTATAAAGGAAGGTCTCAGTTCGTCTATAAAGGGGTGCGGCGGATAGGTGCATCAATGACCTCAGCTCTAACTACACATTAAATTGTAATATGTCTTTGATAAAATCGTCTTCACGATATTTCTCTCTTAGTCTTTCCATACATGAGCTTCGGTGACGACGAAGGAGACCAGACTTGGTCTTGATTAAGTCATTAAAATATATCCAAGAGCAAAGGTTTCCAGCTTTCATGTGGGTAGACGAAGCAGCTTCACTAACTACAGGAAAGCAATGACCAGTGTTCCGGAAGCTGAACCGATTTCTGTCTATCAAGCATAGTAAGAATATTCATATCAAGCAAGCCCAATATGATTCATGGACATAGTCGTTTGGCTAAATGTCCCCAAACTCACTCACCCACTACCAATATCAAGTATGCCCCTCGCGGTTTTGCTATAGTGATTGCTCATATGGTGTGCTGGGTATTGTAATAGAATAAAGAAGGCAGCTAAAGGGACAGAGAACGAGGAAGGTCCACCACATCGGGTATGTACCAATGCTCCAGCATTTCACGAAGAAAGGGCAACCGAAACCTCATGACGTGACCCCTGCTTCGAAAGCGACTGCATGAACTACTGGGCGATTGCTTCCTGCTCCTGGCCTGGTAAACGATGACATCTACTCAGGAAGTACATGATATGAAGTATTTTACTGTCTCCATTTCCCACATTCCCAGATGTCAATGGAAATCCAGTGTCTCAACCTCATTTTCAACCACTGCCCAACTCTAGCTTGGCAGTTGTTGAGCCCTTCTTGGAAATCCATGACACATATTTTACGATTTTCCGTTTACCTGCACTCGGACGCCTTTGACCATGTCGCTCTTGTGCTGCCTTCGCAGCCGTCAACCGACTAGTGTAGAACCCGACCAAGAACTAGTCGATCTTCCCCCTCCCCCACCGGCTGCGAAACTATCCAAGCAACCGCTTCCTGCTCCTGAAGTGGAGTTGCCATCACCACCAATTGTGGTTACGCAGCATCCTTCGCTGCTACAAGGCAATCAAATACCAGAGGCTACCGTGGACCCCACTATACTCGAAATTGAAGATTCCGACGATGACGAGCCTGCGCGAAGTATCAGAAACTCTAGCACCGGTACCCTCGAGGCCATTAGGACTAAATTTGCTAGACGCCTCTCAGAAGGATCCGGCTCGAAGAGAAATTCTCAACAGTCTCTCGGTACCAGCGACGAGGAGGTTGCACGGCGTGCCGAACTGAAGCGGTTGATGCACAAGAGAATCCAAGAAGAGTTGAAGAGCGAAGAAGAGCAGGATGAAGAACCCTGCACTAAGATGAGTACGATTGATGAACTGACAGCTGTCGGTCCTTCGCGTGTTGCGTTACCTGGCGGTGGTCCTCGAGATAACATAGAGTTTTCCGTCTCGGATGTAAGCGAAGCTGGGTCCAAGGACTGTGCTACCAATGGCTCTCCAGATATCGTGCTCCTTGCTCCTCCACCGAGCGACTTGCGGCGATCTGCCTCTCATCGTCGAAGCACCTACTCGAATCCGAGGTCAGCTTCTCAATCTCACGAGGATCCCGTTTCCGAGCCCCCCGGAACTCTCAAAGAAAGAGCCTCATTACCCCAACTCCCATCTTCTCCTCAACTCGCGCCCGTTTATCTGCCGAGTATTAAAACTTCGGAGTCTCTCTGTTCCTGGCGTCTCTCTTACAGCGCTGAACGAGTCGCAAGCTACCTTGGAGCTCACGGCGAAACAAGGTCGGTCACTGATTCGGACCATGGCGAAACGGACGTCGAAAAGGAGGAAGTACACGAACATGCTGAGCAGTCTGAGCAGCAAGCAGACCATGCTGAAACCCATTCCTCTGATGATCAAGGGTCTAGGCCAATGATAGAGCCAGCAGCAACCCCAGACAAACAACAACCTTCGCTGGATCATGCCCTTCGACAGGACCAGAGCAATGTAGGTGCCATAGAGGATCCATTTGCCGAAATATCTCATGATGAAGACTCAGTTATGGATTCGCTGGATTTATGGCTACGGAGCCAAGAAGTGCAGTCGAATTCAGCTGTGTCAAGTAGGAGGACTAGTGATATGATCCTCCAGATGATCCCGGACAGTTTTGATAGCCGACTGCGTCAATCCGTAGATATCGACGGATCCGTGTTATTGGGCGGTATGCGCAGTATCTCTAATGCCTCGGCAGCTACACCACGTAACCCTTTGCCCACTTCAAAAGCAGTTGTTGCGATTGGCCCAACCGAACAACCGAGCGCTGAGTATGGAGAGCAGCAACGGCCTGTTGGGGATCATAGTGGTGCGCCTGACGATACAGATCACGCTAGGGAGATATCTTCCTCCCATTATACATCTTCACGGTATACCACCAGGCCCAACAGCTGCCAAACTATAGCGAAAGAGTCGCGCTTCAGTCTAGTCGATCTCTTGGGAGAGCGAAGGGCTATATCGCCGTTCTCGAATTTTAACCGTCAGTTTTTATGTGCATACGTCTCACATCGGGTTTTTATTTAACAATGACACATAGGTCTGATATCTCCAAGTCGCGCGACCGATGCCGAGAAGTCGAGATCGGATGTCAGTTCTTACAAGACTGCCCATAATGAAGCATCCGCATTGGACCTTATTCAACGTGAGGTCTATACCCCACAGCACCCAATCGATGAGGCAGGTCCAGCGGCGTTTTCGGATACTGCGAGCTTCAAGCATCGAGAAACCGAACTAGAATCAATCGCAAAAAGATTCGGACACTTCCAGAGTCGTCGGAATATTACCACACCAATAGTCAGCAAGTTCCAGGAGGAGTTCATCGAGTCTCGGGCCTCGGCGTCTACTAAGCACTCCATATTTGCTAAACTTCATCTGCAAATGCTGAAGAGGTCGAAACATCCTACAAAGGACACTCATACTAAATCCCGCAGCGTGGAAAACCTAGGCTCCGCAACAAGTTACATGCTCCAGCAAAATTCTAAGAAGGCTATTATTACTGAACTGCCGGTAACGCCAACTCCTTCGGACCAGGAACATGTTGATATCGAAGGTGCGCTAGGCCAACGGCAACGCTCTCTTAAACATGAACCCCCCCAGCACCGGCGTAACTGGCCGGAGAGCCAGGGATGTCGGGAAAACACCCAAACTAACCAGAGCGCACACCTTACTACCCCCACAAGGGAACCCGTTGATTCTCAACGGGCTATTTCAAGCAGCAAAGCCGCTTGTGTTATTGGTATGCTTGACCCGGCATCGAGGGTAGACGATGGGCAAACGCTAAAGCCGCCATCACATCCGGAGGACGGGAGTAGCCCAAGCCTACAGTCGGATATATCGAATAGCGTCCTCAGGGAGTGGATTAACCTAATGAACGACGAAGACTCTCAGGGCCATGTGGAACCGAAACCAGAGCCGCAAAATCGTAGTCTTCTGCGATTCAAGACACCCCCGGCATCGTGGGCAAAATGGCCATCACATACACGTCAAGAAAGAAATGGACCAGCAGGAGAAAAGGATGATGTGATTCCGAGGGACTTTGCTGTCCGTGTGGGGTCCAATGGCAGCAGTACGGGTTGGTCGACGGACAAGCCTCACGATTCACCCAGGAGATACATTGCGTCGGAGTCTCGAAGCCTGTCAACTGAAGTTGGCAAGTTCGTGAAAGGAAGCTTGGACAAGGTTCAAGGGACTCTGAACATTGACAGAAGAACATCTGCGGATTCGGACCATGCCTATCGAGAATCGTATGGACATCTAGAATACCCCGAGCTCGAAATCCTTCCGATGAATGGAGGCTACAAAGAACTACAAGCCTTGGAACAACAGATCGGGACTATAAAGCGCAAGTCCTTAGCTCCGGATAGCCAATTAGCAGTGTCGAGTAGTGGAAACACGAGGCCACCCCTGAGCGCGCGCCTTGCTTCGGAGGTCCATATGATACAGCACAAGACTTCGAGAAATCCTTGCCTCGACAACCAAGATGATGTCGCAACTCCATCGGCGAAGCTTCCTGTTGCTCCTAAGCAGGCACTTCTGCCCCCCAAAGGTGCGCCTGAAGGGAAAGGCTATGTCGAAACACCCGAGTCTCAGGTAACCTACGAGGACTGCGTGCCTAAGCACATGCTGGAAGATGAGAGGTCCGTGGAAGACAGCGCTGTCGCGGAGCATGCACACAATGCACCAGCCGCCTAGTTCAATATTGTTTCGATTCTTAACGTATATCGACACGGCGCGATTCTATATGTACCCCTTTCGCAGTACTTTAGTAGAGGCGTGGATGGCGGGGAGAATATCGATAGGAAGTGTATTGTCTAGGTAGGGTCCGATTATAGGTATCAAAAGAGGATAGAGAAGAAGGATCGGGAGCATTATCACTGAATGAGATCATCTTGCTCGTTTTGTTAAAGTAGCTAGTTGCTTGCAGGCTATCCCCAGCGGGTGTGTGTGTCGTTGCGGAAGACGTGTGTCGAAGGAGCTCAACGGGCGAAGGACGTTTTATAGACCTCATTATGCCCAGCCGTCCTAAATCACGGCTAGATCCGGCTTAATCGATTTAACATCATCAGATATTGTTTTGACGTCCTCTTGACGCTATTGTAATGGCCGTAGTAGACTTATAGATCTTGGGGGTGTTGTCTACATCTCCCACTTATGCTCCCTTCCCTTCCATCCCATCCTTTAGTGAAATATAGAGTTTGGGCTTACGGAGTAAGAGACAGTTTCTCACAAGGAATTGCATATTACCACATGGGCCTAAGAATCTTTCACGTATCGTACTTACCG